ACCGGCCTGTTTGATTTACGATGGCGAACGATGACGACTGATGAGGCAGCTATAGACTGCAGGTAGCGTCTTCAGGTAATGTATGTGGCGGGCTGCTATATTCTGCAGGCAGCCATGTTTGATTATTTTGTTAACTGGAGGCGGTAGCTTTCGTGTGTGATTGATTGCATTTGCAGTGGGAGCGGCGGAACGGGTCCGCCGTCTCCTTGATTGGAGAAAGTGCATGCCAGATGATAATGCCCACGGTATCGTTTTCAGAGGAAAAAACCAGGATTATACAATAAGCTACTCCCTCTGTCTTTGTTTTTGACATTAGAGGGAGTATACACGCTAACCAACACGTTATTCATACGCCCTGTGCCATCTTTTAGCAGCAAACTGTAATACCCACTAATCATATACAGTACAGATACAGCGTGTAGGGTGCCTGCCGAGTTGATCAACTTGTCCGGCACCACTGCTGCTGCGCTGATAAATTAGTCCTGGTATCGCCGCCGGAAGACCGTATGATCCCATGGGCTCTGTCCAAAGCGCCGCAAGTGATTCAGGTTACCCTTGTTTTCACTGGAGTCTACAAACGTCTATTAAACGGGAAAGAAACCAGCCCTTTCACAAAGAGAAGAAATAGCTCTATCTTCTTTATCTATTCCCCAGCTAGACGATACGGCGTACATTGCTGCGGAAATTTGTAGAAATATACTTCGATTGTATTTGGTTGTATGGACTAGGAATTTTAAACTCATAATATGAAACTAGAATTTGAGGTACACATATTATTTACTGCATTTAATTATTGAGTTGTACCTTTTCCGGTGCGTATTTGCATGTTGAAGTAGACATTTTCGATGCTTATTTGCGTGCTGAGGTGGCATATGTGCACGTTGAGAGAAATAAGAATTATCGAGTTGAGTTTTTTCATTCATATTTGCATGTTGAGATGGACCTTAGCCTTTCATGTTTGTATCATGAGATGACATGTGTGTATGTTGAGAAAAATACATAAGTGGAGATTGGCAATTTAGATATGCAAGATTTGCAAGTTGAGGTGGGCGTTACCATCATGTTTTTTTAAGGAAGATATCATGGCTAGCTTTATTGGATCTTAAATCAGAATTACATCGTCCAAAAGATTGGGGATTACATAAGCCGGATGCTCATTAACCCAACTACTATTAATGTTATTACAGAAACTATAACTAGTTAGCACATGCGCCGCTTGATTCGAAGAACGAACACAATATTTAAAGACAACCTTCCTAATAAGTGATGGCACATAAACACACTCCACGAATATGGTTGCATCAACATCCCACCATCTATTTTGACCTGAACAATATTTAATCACTGTTGCCGAATCTGATTCTGCCTGCACTCTAGGGAAACCAAGATAATTTGCAAAAGAGAGGCCATCTCTCATTGGCACAACTTCAGAAGTAACCACATCTGCAGCATGTGCTAAGTGTTTGCATTGGGCCGCCAAAAGATTACCTTTCTCATCTCTGATGACTACCGCCGTCGCTCCGGTCCCTTCATCTACATGGAAAAGGCATCAACATTTAGCGTCACAAATTTAGGGTTGGGCTTTAACCATCTTTGCTCTTGGGCATCATGATTCATCAGATTTGCTCGGTGGAAGTTGTTTGCAATAGCCAACACCGACATGGGCCATCTCGAGGGCCGTGTTGGCGATCCATTGTGTGTGATCTCTTTTCGGATCCACCAGAGGTACTAGCCTCCAACAACAAGATTTTTTTTAACATCTAGAGGTGACATGTGTCGGCACATGTTGAGAGAAATACATTAGTGGGGACTAGCAATTTAGATATAGAAGATTATAAATCTTACTCACTTAGGATCTGTAAGAAAAGTACCACAAAACAACACATTCCAATTTTGTGGGCATATTCATAAATAAAAAATCGTCCTCCATCTCCTTAACTAGGCTTGGCATGGTTCAAGCACCTCAAAACATTGCTTAAGTATTTGTAAATGTAATTTAATCACTGCCATAAAAATTAATTATTGCAACTAATTATAAAAACATTATCCATGCATTTTTTTGGCTTTTCGAACGGGCATTTGGCAAAATACTAGACCTCGAACTAGCCAAACATCAGGTTTTCAAGTGTGGGCTGCTCAAGGCTAGGTTTGTCATCTTTGAGCCCCCCCTCCTCCTCGCTAAGGGACCTCCTCTTTGCCCTGGATGAAGAAGGTCGCGAAAGTAACCATATTTTTTGCACACAAGAATTTGGGTTTGTTGCATGTCAATCTTTGAGGTGTTGCATCTTTGACTTGAGTGATAACTTTAGAGCATTCCCTTTTCGCAATTTTTTTTGTTGTGTGTATGCTACATTGTTGCGAACATTTCCTCCCCGGTCCAACAAAACACGTGCAAAAATGTACAATGCATAGAGGCGACAGATCCCAGCCACGCGGCGACCCAACCGATGCATAGTGCCGTAGATAAAAATCCAATATGGGATCCGGGTTTAAATCTCAGATTTTGAAGCCACGATGTTCACCTTTTTGCAAAAAAACTCTTTCGGTTGTAAGTGGCATGCTGGTCCCCAACGAGCAACAGTGAAATGTACAATGTTCAGGCTCAATGGGTCCAATAGTTTCGTGAGTATTTCCGTTCATGCGTGCGGTGATGTGTGTATGTTTGCACCTTCCCTGATGCTCCTAAATGAAACAATAACCTAAAGAAAATAAGAATGAGTTTGACACCACACCAACAGATCACATGCAAGATTTTGTTCAAATCGAACACAACAATGTTTGGGAAAAATAAACATAGGTATGTCACTCATGACAACAAGAACGAAACAAAATGTCCATGGAATTGACATATGGTTGGCCAAATGAGTATGCCTCATGATTGGACAAAAAATGGCAACAAAAATATATGCATGCCAGAGGATCATGAGCTAATTGGCCGCCTCTTTTTTGTCTTGCTCGTTTCGGCTTGAGCAGAAAGTTCACTCTGTTGTTAAAAATTATCGTGTGGCACTTTGCGAATGATTTGTTTTGTCTCTTTGGTGGATATGATTGATCTCAATCATTTTAATACTCACCTTTGGCTCACCTTTTTTGTATGGTCTTGCTAATCCTAAGTCATCTGAGATTTCTTATCTTTAAATCGGTTCGTCTAAGAATCAACTTAGATATATAGAAAAATCTCAGTCAAGAACATTCTAGGCTTATACTTCGCCATTATTTATTTTCTTGAGAAGCTTACCCTTCATATTGTCACAGTCAACATAAGAACACTCGACTGTCCCAAAAAATAAATAATATTTGAGTTCTTTGTTTTTTTAACATCAGTACAGACACAAGTGCTCATATATACGCGCATACACTCATCCTTATGAGCGTCGAAAGACTGAGCCGGCATGTCATCTTGAGATTTACAAAGTCATCGTAGGCATCTCGTTGTCGACAGAACGTCTGCTCCCACTGAATATGCATCGCCGGAAATCCTAAAATAAATCCACGAATAAATGCGAGCACCAAGATTTAAACCCTGATGGACTAGGAATACCACAGTCTCTCTAACCATCCAACCACAGGCCCTCTAATATTTGAGTTCTTTGTTAGACCTATAGACAACCCACGGGCTAGCAAAGTTCTACTGGGCCTAGGAAATTCACAAGAAGATTGACAAAGCGGGCATAATGGCCGCATGCCCACACCAGTTTGCCACAAAAGACAAATGTCCACCCCTCCACAGATACAAAAATTAAGAGGATGCTTGGATCCAAGGGGTTTATTTTAGTCTTACTAAAAATAGTCTTTTTAAGAGGTTAAAGTTTCAAGCACTCCTGATTAAAGAGGGGTTAAAACTAGTCTTGAGACTAATTTTTTTTAGTCAGGGGTATCCCTACTAAAATGTGGATTAGTCCTCTCTCTCCTTATTTAACTCCTCTCCTTTAACACGTGCGAATTCTAGATTAAAGGGTTTGGAGGATAGTAAATGCTTATTAACTTGATTTTAGTCTTTTTAGTATTTGGATCCAAGCATGGATGAGGCTAGCAAGTTTTAGTCCCACTACTTTTAGTCATGAGACTAAAACATATACAAGCACTCTCTAAGAACAAAGTGAACTCCATGAATTTTAAGCATGCACGATGGATTGATTGGACGATAATATTTCTGAGTCTACAAGGAGCACAATGTGGATCAACATCGATGCAGATGGTGCTTTATCTCAGATGTTGAGAAATGCGATCAGAGCCATCGCCATCACAAATGAAACACGCATGTAGAAGCGTAACCAACGGTATGGATGGGATCTCAAACTTGCAGCGAAATGGGTCCGGCAACCAACAATCTTAGGATCAGACCCGAGCATCGGTTGTTCACCAATTGGCTAATGCATGCCCAATAACGTTAGAGTTTTTCTATACAAACCATTGCGTGTGGTGTCTTAAGTGAAGATTGCACGGCACAATCAGCACACTAAGCAGTGTAAACTAAGAATGGAGTTCAATGGAGACATTCGCCCATGTGCGTAAACTCTCGCTGTCCTTGAGGGGTCTCTTACCTTGCCTTCCAAGCCCAGCCTGCTACACAGGCCCAAAGTCACAGCTGGGCCGAAGCAGGATGGCTACGGTGTGGTACCGCAGCCAGCGTAGGTGTCTGCCAACTGCCAGCTTTCCCCATTAAAAAAATCAAAACGGTGCCTGGCATTTTTTCACTTACCCCCTTCACCCTTGCCAGCAGCAGCCGAAAGGCGCAGCCCTTCCCCAATTCCGGCCACGCCCCAGCGCCTCCGCCTTCCCCCCTTCACTCCCCTCCCAGCTGCTCCGCCGCCGCCGTCCCCGTCTCCTCCGCCGCCCCCCGCCGGCCCAATATCCAGCCGCGCGCTTCCTCCCTAGCCCCCTTCCCCAGCGCCGCCGCCTCTTCCACCAACTCCATCCGCCAATCTAGAAAGAAACCCCTATTTGTTGCGCCACCGCCGCCCGCTTTGATTCGGCCGATCTGATCGGTCGCTGAGCCGATGGGCCGCGACGCCGAGGAAGCGTCCCTGCCGGCGTCGTCGCCGGAGTACGAGCAGGACGACGACGAGGAGGACTGCTACCTGAGCGATCAGGAGGACGATGCCCTAGAGGAGTCCGTCCTCCAGGTCCTCGAGGACGGCAACCTCGAGGACTGCCATTGGTCCTCCTCCTCCGTACGCGCCTCGCTTGCCCGTGTTCCTCCGGGCCCTCTCCGCCCATTGGCGCCCCCGATTGCTTCCCTTACTGACGGATTTTCCCCCCCTTGCTTGTGCTTGCTTGCAGGTGATCACCAAGGAATACCTCTTGGCGGCGCAGGTGACTATGTGGCCCGAGGGCTCCTCCCATTCTGTTTCCAGGCTGTAAGCGATTTCCGGATGCTGACGTTTGTTTTGTAAATTTATTCTGGCTGATTGGGGTCTGTAGAGGGAGGATCTGAGGAAGGTGATGGAGCTGCTAGGGTTAAAGGAGCACCACGCAAGGACGCTTCTGATCCACTACCGCTGGGATGTGGAGAGGATATTCGAGCTGCTCGATCAGAAGGGGAGGGATAAGCTCTTCTCCGAGGCTGGTATTCCTCTCGGAACCGCCAATAATGCTGGCTCGCCCTCTGCGACGGAGGTCACCTGCAATGTTTGCTACGATGATGTGCCCCTCTCGGCCGCTTCCCATATGGACTGCGGCCACAACTACTGCAATGAATGTGAGTACTGGTCGTTGAGAACACAGAAGTGCTTATTATGTATATGAAGCTTTGCATATGTATGTATTAGCTATAGCTTTTATATGCCGGTAGAACGATCGTATGATGGCATTTTCGGATGAATACTTTGCTTTTTGACCACCGTGCTGATCAGCAGTGTGATATTCGTGTATTAGGAATGACAAATCAACAAACATCTTATTATCCTACTTACGAAGAAAATGGAGCAACTTATCATCTTCATTTATCTCTGTATCATTGTAGACCATCTGTACTTGTACTTCATGCACAAAATTAACCTAGGGAAGCAGGGGATATCACTTCCTAGTCGCAAGAATAATCATTATGTTACTTCATCTAATCTACTAGTCTATTATTACGAATTTTGGCTCTAAGTACCAGCGAAGAATATATCAACTACGCAAGTTTTTTATACTCTCTACCTCCATGCCAACCGCACCCTTGAATTAGCATTGCTATATCATTTATTCCTGAATAGCCACTAATATGTGCGTTTCATCAGGTTGGACAGAATATTTCATTGTGAAAATAAATGAGGGGCAGAGTCGGCGTGTCAAGTGCATGGCTCCAAAGTGCAATGCCATCTGTGATGAAGCATTAGTCCGGAAGTTAGTAAGTGCAAAGCGCCCAGATATTGCTGAGCGCTTTGAAAGGTTTTTACTGGAATCTTATATCGAGGACAATGATACAGTCAAGTGGTGCCCCAGCACACCACATTGTGGAAATGCTATACGTGTCAAAGGTGATATTCATTGCGAAGTGGAATGTACATGTGGACGCCAGTTTTGTTTTAATTGCTCCTCAGAAGCACATTCCCCTTGTTCCTGCGTGATGTGGGAGCTCTGGATCAAGAAATGTCGTGATGAATCAGAGACTGTGAATTGGATAACAGTAAATACTAAGCCCTGTCCCAAGTGTCACAAACCCGTTGAGAAGAATGGTGGCTGCAACCTGGTTGCATGTATATGTGGACAAGCATTCTGGTGAGATTTCGTATTCCTCTTGAACATTTATGTTTTATTGCATACCATTCCATTTGTTGGCAGCTAATGATGCACTGTTGTTATATTGATGCCTTCTTTTATTTGTTATATTGGTACCTTCTTTTATCTTACTTGATATTTGTCCATACAAACTGAAAGCACCACATGTCTTGTCTTCTTCTCACTTTCCTGTTTTATGTAAGCGTGAGCATACTTTCCAATGAGTAATGATGTTCAAATGAATCGTAGAACAGAATGTGGTACGATGAGATAGAATGCAGCAGAAATAGAAACAAAAATAGGGAGCAGATTACCTACCCCTAAGGGTCAAAGCAAGCCTTCAGTTCAGCTTGTTATTCTTACATTAAAGAATTAATCATATCTCCCCAAGTAGTATTGGAACGTACGACCAGTCAGTTAACAGTTGACTACTCTACCACTGAGCTACTGAGGAACAAGGGGGGTTCGAACTCCAGAGTTGAACTCCCGCTCTCAACCCTTGAGCAAACTTGCTTGAATGATTGCCCTGGTCCTTGATCTTCGGGATGCAGAATAGGAGATCGCTTGGCACATGTTAGTTAGGACTCAGAACCAGTGAAACCCACCTTGGGTAAGGCGAAGTTCAGTTTGGAGATCTAATGATTCCTTATATCGTGTATCCTTGATTGATGCGGCCTCAAATGCTTCAATTGTATTTGTAGAGTATTCAGATATACCGAGTTACCAATTCAGCTCGGTCAGTAGTATACTACTACTAGGATACTATTGTGATATAATTGTATGGTGGGCAGATAGTACTTTGATGCTGGTGAAGTACATACTGTTCTCTCTTTGATACCGATTGCTCTTTTGTAAGGACAGGTTTTATGACATATTTATAGCCCCATAATTTTTCTATAAAGATACAACCACCTAGATTGTTAATGAAAATTTGTTGGTAGTTGGAAATAATAGTTTGGTATCATGCTTTTACCAGTAATTCTTCTTTCTATAAAGATACAACCACCTAGATTGTTAATAAAAATTTGTTGGTAGTTGGAAATAATAGTTTGGTATCATGCTTTTACCAGTAATTCATAGCATATGGAGGAAAGTCTTGTAATGGTATAGGCGTATAGCTTATCTAACCTTAGTGTGGAAGTATTCTATCCATCATCCATAGCTCCTGCCCTGATCACGTATGCTACGTACAGACTTATGGTGTGTGGATATAATAGCAAAAGCTGTACTCTGCCAATTGTGTAACGAGACAGAGTATTATTGTTTCCTATTCAAGAATGCTCACTGCTAGAGGTAATGCTGGCAGTCTGGCACGTATCTGATCGGAAATCTAGATATCGTAGTAGGGTAATACAAGAGTCAATTGTACTGTCAAGGATCATTACAGGCCTTTATTAGCATGTGCCTGACAGGATATAAAAAATATTTTAAGTTTGGTGTGTCATTCACGCTGCACCACAACTTACATGCTATGCTGACTAAGATGTTCTCCTCTCTTGTTTTTCTTTCTAGGTTTTTCCCTCTTCGCCCCACTTGTTCTTAAGTTTGAGTTTTATTTTGCTGATTTTATGTATTTCGGATGCAGTTGGTTATGTGGTGGTGCTACTGGTAGAGATCACACATGGTCAAGCATTAGCGGCCACAGTTGTGGCCGATTCACAGAAGATCAGTCAACGAGAACAGAACAAGCAAGGCGAGACCTCTATCGATATATGCACTACCACAACAGATACAAGGCACATACTGATTCTCTTAAGCAGGAAGCAAAGCTTAAGCGTGACATCCAGTGGAAGATATCCATTTCTGAAAATAAGGAATCCAAGATAAAAGATTACTCTTGGGTGATAAATGGACTGAACAGGCTTTTCAGATCAAGGCGTGTTCTTTCATATTCTTATCCTTTTGCATTCTACATGTTTGGTGATGAGATCTTCAAGGATGAGATGACTCCTGAGGAAAGAGAACTCAAGCAGAATCTGTTTGAGGATCAGCAACAGCAATTAGAGTTCAATGTTGAAAGGTTATCTGGTTTCCTTGAGAAGGATTTTCAAAATTTTAGTGATGAGGAGGTTATGGATACAATGAAGCATGTTATCAATCTTTCCAATGTGGTAGATAGGCTCTGCAAGCAAATGTAAGAACTCTGCTCAACAAAGTCCCTGTCAGTTACCTTGAAATAAAAATGTTTGGCCAGTGTTTTGTACTAACTGTGTATTGCTTTGCAGGTATCAGTGCATCGAGAATGATTTGTTATACCCTCTCCGCACGCCTCATAATATTGCCCCATACAAATCCAAGGGTCTTGATAGAGCCTCAGAGCTCCATATTTGTTTGGACTCTGCTGAACAAAGTTCACCATCTACGAAGTGTAGTCAGGATGAACACAAGAGTCAACCTGGTTTATGTAGCGAACCAGGTATTTAACTTGCAATATTTCCTTCATACCAAGGCTTAAATTCATATGATAAGCATCACCATGTCCATACTACTCCCCCCGTTCGGAATTACTTGTCGCAGAAATGAATGTATCTAGATGTGTTTTAGTTCTAGATACATCCATTTCCGAGACAAGTAATTCAGGGAGTAGAAGTTAGTTATTAGCTGTTTCTGATTGCTTATATTTTAATTGAGATTAGCTGCTTCTGGTTGCTGATGCATATTTTACCATCCGCCCTAGGCTCATCTCTTACGGGAAAGCGACCTATTCTTCAGATGCACGGGTCAAGTTCCGACAACAGTGGACGCCCGTCTCACAAGAGAGAGAGAAGAGACGCTCATGGCGGCGGTGCTCTTTTCGATCTCAACATGCCAGCCGAAGTGGCGGACAAGATCTGAAGCTCCAGTATCTGACGGAACATTCCGCTGCAACTGTACAGCTGACCTGTGTTTCTTCAGCTACATAAAGGAATTTGTGTTCTCTTTTGTTGCCCTGGGGCGCTTGCATGCGCCGCAACCTCCCCCGCCCTGGGGCTGTGATCCCGACCCGACCAATAGAGCAAGCAAACTTTCAACTTATCCTCTTGTATATCATGACATGACATGATCCCGTTGTGCATAGCTCCTATAATGCTAAATCTACCTGTTGAGCAAGAAGATAACTTTTTTTTGGGAGAGAACTCTAGACATGTTTTACTATGTTTGTGCTGCAAATTGCAATTTATTGTAGAAGTAACTGCTTCAAGCTCTTTGGGACGCTGACTTTCTAAAATTGCAAACTGAATACTACCAGCTGGTTAAAAGTTGGGACTCCGTCTTGTGGTGGTAGTCAACCAGATGAGGTTCTTTAGGTCAGCTGATTGATTCCCATCCAAGCTCGCAAAAGTTTGAATCCTGGGAATGCGTTCCCGCTGAGAAATGCAAGATGCTGCCTGTGGAGGATTGCGGTGCGAGATGCACATCAGCATGTCTGTCGTTGAGGCATGTTTTACCCCGAGATTTTGTCAGCTCTGCTAGCTTCGAACATGCTGCCTTGGAAGTCAAGCTTTGGATTACGTGTTGAAACGTAGCCCCTTGGCTGCTCATGCAAAGGGACAGGCTGCATATGGGGCAAATCTGGCCCTTTTGCTACCGTCAGGGTCCATAGCCTACCGCTAAACAGAATGACGGTAGCATGTACAACCCTATCGTCAAGGTATTCGGCGATAGGCACGAGCACGCACTATGTTCAATACTTAGCAAATTTTTGCGGTAGGGGATCTTGGCGATAGGCAGTTATACCCTACCGTTATGGACCCTCGCGGTAGCAAAAGGATCAGATTTCAAAAAAATAATTCAAACTAAGATTAGATCTCGAATAGGTAACGAAAAAGGATCAAAACATGAAATTTTGCCGCATATGGCGACCCGATGGTACCGAGGATGCGCTTGTACCACGCGCATCACCTGAGAATCTACCGGTGCGTGAAAGAACACTCCATGTTGTCCTCTCCCGTGCTTTCCTTTGGATTTGTGTTGTCCCCCATCTCTATTCGCTAGGTATTAGCTATCTAATGGAAAATGCTCGAGCTCCGCACGCCCATTGACTTCCAGATAGGACACCATTGCCACGGTCGTAGCAGTTGGTAAACTCAGCTAGGCGTTTAGCGCGCTCTCTGGCAGCTTGGAAGACCGATGAGAAGAATCTTTCCCGGATCTCGAACTGAGGAGGCTTCAGTAATCAAATGCCGCCGGAGCTGGTTTCCTATGCGCGCTTGCACATCACGCTGCATCGGTGTGGTTCCTTTCCTTGCTTCACCTGCTCTTTCCAGCGGCTATTCTACCACTCGGCACCGGTCCAAGAGCACATGAGACCCCCGGCATGTCTGTCGCCGGGACGGTTCTTTAATCACTCCACTGAGATTCGAATAGCTTCTCTTAATCGAGGCCGCTTTGTCGTTATTACGTACGGGCGCAGCTCCCCTAGGTTGTCATTGACAGCATCATTGGGGATAGACGGGGAGTGTATCTTATCTTACTGCTCATGCTAATGATCATTGTGAACCAAGTGGGACAAGGAACGTCTCCTTTCTTCTTACTCTTCCTCAGTTCCGACAGATACATCCATTTATGCGACAAATAATTTTGGACGGAGGGAGTAACAGATATCCAGAAGCCCTTCATTTGCCAACACATAGCAAAAAAACAGAGAGTGCAAAACTTACTACCAGCAGGAGCATATATACCGAACGTACCTTTTCCGTTAGCCATCAAGTCTCTGTTGTGCGATGCGATAAATACTGCCAGTGCAGAAGCAAGTACCGTCTCTTATCATACACATATATAGCACGATGCACAAAAGATTGGTCCAGCAGAACGAATAGTCGTGCAAGGAAAAAAATGCCCTGGGCTAATAATGCTCTCTAGGTACGTACTACGTGCACCGTGGTGGAGGGCGCGTGCGATTGCGACGTGGGGGCGCCGGGCCGGATCATGCTTGAGGAACAGTTGAGTGAGGGGCGCGACCAAACCCACAGCTAAAACTGCAGTGGGATTCCGTGACAAGCAGCTACATGACATTTGGGGCCCGGACGCCCGGTTAGGGTACATGAGGGATGGGGCTGGGCACGGCATCCACCGAATCCAGCCGGTGCACGCCTCCTATCCCATCCCATCCCATCCCATGTAGCGTTTGGCGTGTATGCTGCTTGCCCCAAGGCAAAACCAGCTCTGGAGTAAATTGCACAGAAGTACCACAATTGGGGCATTGGAAGCAGATTGGTACCAAATTTGGTAATTTTTACATGTCAGTACCAAATCTGGGGCTATACGTTACAAAAAGGTCTAAATCGCGTATAAACGCGTATTGACAGTGTATCTGACCGGCGGGGCCCGCCTGTCAGCTGCCGACGTGGCATTTTTTTTGCAGATACCCCCCGCACGGCGGCGCCCGGTCTGGATCGAGGGGAGGATCCCCTCGAGCCCGAGCTCCTCTCGCATCACCGCCGCCCCCGCTCGCGCCGGAGCTGCCCCTGCTCGCGCCGCCGCGGCCTCTGCTCGCGCCGTGGCCTCTCCCCCCTCCGTTGCAGCAGGCGAAGAGCCGATCAATGGCTGTGTCGGTGGGATGGGATCAGAACCGGCCATCCGGCCCGAGCTGCCACCGGTCGGCGTACATGGGCGGTGGGGAGGTGGGGGAGGAGGAGGGGCTGGGGAAGCCGAGGACGAAGCCGGCGGCGGCGCGGTGGTGGTGGTGGTGGTGGCCGACGACGGTGGCGATGGGGCCGAGCGGGTGGTTCTTGCGGCGGCCGACGCCGATGGGCACGTTGCGGAGCGCGCCACCGGCCGTCCAGTAGCAGAACTTGGTCTCCCGGCTCCGGCACCGCGGGCACGACAGCGGCGCCGCGGCCGCGCGCGTCTCCGCCGACTCCTGCAGCTGCGTCCGCCGCGACGCCTCCGCTCCCTGCTGCTGCTGCGACGAGTCCATGTCCGTCGCCTCCCGCTTGACCGCCGTCGTCGTCCGGTCCGTCTCGCCATGCAGCCGCCGAGGACGACGAGCGCACAGGCGA